TTTTTCCCCTTTCTTTTTCTGTACGTCGTTTTGGTTTTATTTTAATATTTTTCTTTTTCTTCTTTTTTGGAAATTGCTTAACGGGGAAGAAGGCGGGTTCCGGCAGAGATGTGGCTCTTCCCCCAACCAAGGAAAGGCTCGAGCCCCCGTTCATCGGGGCTTTGGTTGTCGGCTCCCCTATCATCAGGTCACCAACTTCCTTGATCTTCTGACACTGGACATGTTATCGTGATGCATTGGCTACGAAGATTGTCGGAGTCTAAATTTATGGATGGATTCAGTCAACCAGAGTCCCTCAAACTCAATCAATATCAACAATATGTTCGTGACCGGTTAGGTTTGGTTTATTTTGTCAGAAAAGAAAGTAGGTTTCGGGAGTTCATTGATTAGTAAACCTGCAGTGCTGGTAAAGTCGGGACCATGTGGAGAAAAAGGGGTATGTGTTGCAAGCCCGCAAAGCTCGGCTCCAATGAAAGTTGGCTCCACGGATGAGTTAAAATTTTCGCAAGTAGGAGACCTACAAAAGAGAAAACATTTAACGCTCAAGTTAGTGAATGGTCGAAATATATCCAAGAAAAAATATAGTTTTGGGTACCTAAGAATGACACCAAATGTTTCTATTTATAGACGAAGCCTCCAACAGAGCGTTCGACAAGCCTCCAACAAAGCGTCCGACAAGCCTCCAACGATTCTTTAAGGTTTCGGGAATCACGACCTGTTATCGTGGAAGGTGTCAGAAATTATTTCTTAAAGGAGTGTCTTTTGGTCGGCACGACTAGTAACCAAACTACCGAAGTAGATGATAGTAGCTCCACCCGGCTTGTCCCAAGCGACCGAGGTGATAATATTCCACATGATACCTCCTTATGTTTAGTAATCATGATCATTATTAGAGGTTCCCATCGGTGAGTAATATTTTTCGAGTTTTTTAATTTGTTTCGACGATTGAAAATTTTCAATCCATATTCATCGAAACAAATTAAAAAACTCAGAACACAATTATTTTAGGTTAATTTTAATATTTACCTAGGTAAATATTAAAATTAACCTAAAATGATGAATTTCAACAAATCACAAATTACCACATAATAATTTCAAAATTATATGTCTAGATAATGTAACTTGTTATTTTTGAGCATTTGAATTTGACCAATCAAATTATGTTATAACCATAAGATGATATAAATTGGTCTAATAAAATTAAGTCACATGTGACATAAATTGACCCAATTAAAATTCACCGTGTCTAGATAAGCTCTCCCAATTGGATTGTGGTACGTGTGAAAATGGACTTAAAATCAGCTGATCAGGTCCATGAAAGATCTTATAAACATGGGGTTAATTCATGAGATAATATTTTGGATAAACTATTTTGCAAACTTATTTTCATAATGGTCTAATGTTTACAAATTTTACAA